TGGTTGGTTCCAACTTCTACAGTAAATACAAGATTCTGGAGATAAAATGTATCATATATTTTTTCTTCACTCACGTGTATATAAAACATTAACTAATAGAGGTTTACTTGTAACTAGACTCAGCCAGTTCTGAGTAAAATCTCCCAGCCTTAAAATTATAGCCACTAAAAATTTGGCTAAAACATAAATTTCATTTCCAATTTCTAATCAGTTACCCAGACATACGTTACACATGGTCAAAGACTGCTGCCTTCCCACTCAGGACAATCTCTATGCTCATTTTCTAGTGTTACAATTTACTGAGAACCTACAAGAAAGGCACATAATTCTAGCTATGTGACAGCTTAAGTTTATACGTGTATATGTATATGTATATATATATTTATGTATATGTATATATTATGCTAGAATAGTAAAAATACATTCTTTATTTTACAATTAAAGTGCATCATAAAACAAAAACCTGTCTTACTTTAGCCACCATTTATTATTCTATTCCTTCTACAAAACCAGAAATAAGCATTTAATTGTTTGGTTTAATATTTAACAATTCTTGAAAAATCACCTTTAACATATTTTTTTAAAAGTCACTTAGGGATCAAGTACTTTATTCATAGAAATTAACTGTAAGTAAAGCAGATAATTCAGTTTTTAAAAACCCAAAAATTAAATCCTTTTTGTGTTTCTAAGACACACGGACACCACATGTCATCTTAGCTTATGGTTTTTGAGGTCATTACTGAGATCAGACAGTCTGCACTTTGTGATAAAATTAGATGATAAAGACACATTACTTGCAGGGGGAGGTTTTGTCCAGAGCTTTAAGCACAAGTGGGTCACGTTGCCCAGTGATCTAATTAATGACTATTGCATTTAGTTTGCCTGAGATCCCATGTATATATGCTCACCAGCTCCCAGCCCCCACCCCAAGTTAAAAAATAACTTTATACCAAAATTATCCTACTCCGTATACTCAAAAGTATGCAGCAAGAATAAACTCTTCAAATCTCATAATAATGTTTAAAGAATATTCTCTTCTTTCATGTTCACTTGTCTAGAAAATCTGGATTCCAGGAAATGATTTCCCACTTGACTGTTCAACATATAAGAACCCTGAGATCACTTGTAAATACTAAGCAGGGGGAGAAATGATTGTATTCTATAAGCATGTGCTTAAAAAGTCAGAAGTGTAAAATTGATAATCATTTACCCTGAAGTTTTGCACGAGTATATCTTGCATGAGTGTATGTGAACCGAACCACTTTCCTGGTGTCCCCATACACTGTCCCTTCTCCTTGTTTCTGTGTATATGTTAGTATTTCCATTTCATTTGTCAGCAAAAGTCTGTTTACCCAGTTTTCTGTTATTAATTATGAGAAACAGGTTTTCCAAAATATATGAGACTCTTTTAACTCTTGTCTAGACACTTCAAGGCAAGATATGGATGATTCTTTTAATGTTTGTCCAAAGCTGGAAACTAACTTAAAATACATTGTTTCTTCATGTAGCTTAGAACTTATCTCTCATAGAAAAAAGATACAAGTAATGAAAACAACAAATCACAGCAACTTCTAATTGGTTACTCGAGACTGAGGTAACCAAGTTGGATGCTTTGTTTATTTGCTGAGAATAATGAAAAAAATCACAATGTGAATTCTGAACTCTAATATTCCACAAAAATGAGTTCAAAGACATACTCACATAGTAAAGTGCTAATAGACAGTAGATGTATTCTGATGTAAACATGTCCGTAAAGAGACAAAAATAGTGACCTGAATATTTTATTGGAATATCAGAAGGCTTTTCATTTTGAAGCATCTGGTCAGTTCATCTAGCTCTCTCTCAAATAGAATGCATGTATTAAAATCATAAAGAAGCCAAAACATCTGGAAAGAAAAGCAAAATAGTTATGGAGGAAAATCCAGATTTTAAAAAAATGCAGATGTTTAATTGGGCTGTCAGTTTTGTTACGAGGAAATAAGAGCAGAAATAACCAGAAGCCACTGGTGGAAAATTAAAATAGTTTTGTGAGCCCTTGCCAAGCTAAAAGCAATGAAATCGGTAACACAATATGGACAGGGGCTTTCTACACTGAGATCTGAAAATGTTATCATGTGCAATTTTGTAAATTAGCCATTTCCAAAAAATCGTTTTCATTAAAGCACAGTAAAAGTTTTTCAGACTCTGCCTTCTCTTTTTAATCATTAACATCGGGCTCTGAGTTTGGCTTCCACCAATAACGAGCTCTGGCCCCCACCCTGCTGTCCCCCCTCCTAAGACCCTCTAATACTGCTGAGTGGCCAGAAATTACAGATGCAAGGAAGCTGACAAACGACAGCCAGGCCCCTCCCCCAGTGCCTCGACGGTCAAAGCCCCTGCCAGAACATGCCTGAAAGCTGCACGCCTAGAGACAAAGACACAAAGATTCCATTTTCTCAGTGAAAATAGATTTCATGTGAAAAACACTAGTGAGAAAAATTGAAAGCTGACACATATGTGCAATCTCAGAGAGGCAAGGCTGAATATTTCAAGAAGATTGAAATTGCGTTTGATTGCATCAAAACCTAACAAATGTTGTTTAACCTAAAAGTCTTTTCAGTCTGTAAAAAAGACATTCAGTGGCAAGATATTTTACGTTTTTAAGCACATGGTTAAAAAGGAAAAAGAATCTTGAGCTCAGTAGAAAGATGTTGATTACATACTACTATCGCATAAAGAATTAACACTGGCACACATTATAGGGTCTACAAAATAAGAGGGGAAATTTTTCAAAAACCCTATTGAATCAAAGGGTTCAGAAAGATAATATTAAATCCTTATGAGTATGTTTCCTATAAAAAGAATCCCCTCCCAGCAGCCCCAGGGTATCATTACCAAAGAGGCAGAGAGTGTGTTATTAGAGATGTAAACCTTGGCATCGGAGGTTTGCCAAGCATGCAAGTTTCAGCTTGTTGCTCGGGGCCTTGGCTTCCACCGTCCCTTCTGGCATCCCACAGTGAGGGCTGCCTGCTTGGCCCCAGTCTATGCCAGGCAGTGTGTAGGAAGCTCAGAGTAGGAGGCACACAAAGACCCTCTACTAAGGAGATCTGCCCTTCTTCTGGCCTGCCTGCACACCAGCCTACTCTGTAACAAACTCTTCTTAATGGATGAGCTCAACACTTGAAGAAACTTGGCTTATTGTGCTTTAGAGAAAGTGTTAGACCCTTAACAGGTTAAAATATAATTGATAGTAGCTGTCAGGGGTCATACAACCAAGAAATTGCCCCAGTGATATTTTAATTTTAAAAATGTTTTACAACAAATGAAAAAAATAAGAACACATTTTGTAGTCTCCCACCACCTTCTAAGATCTTGCAATTTTTAAATTTCTTTAGCCAATAGGAACATCAGAGAGAGAGAGAGAGAGAGAGAGAGAGATTAACAAATTACATCATAGTTCAATAAGAGATAACTTGGAAGATACTGACAATCTTACATAAACTCTAGTATTATTAAAATGTCTTATACACACTTTTAATTCAAACAACAATATTCTTGTTAGGTTACATTCTACAGTCTAGCTATTCCCATCCAAGGAGACTATTATATAGCATTTAAAGATGATATTTATGATATGAATTAATAAAATTTATATTTTATTCATGGTATTAAAAACCCTGAGTCTACGGGCTCAACACATCCATCCATTTGTTTATCAAAAGAGAGCACCCATTCAGCAGTTTACTAGCATAACTTTTTAACTTTATTCAGCCACGTGGAGTCTTAGTCTCAGCCTCAAGGTCGCTATCCATAATATGAAGAATTTTGTCAGTTGCAGGAAATTTTTCTCTTCAAAGGCAGCATCAACCTTCAAAGGGAGCATTGATTTCAGGTTTCTAGAAGAATATCTGATGTATTTATTTGTGCAGATTAACTCTCCCTTTGTTAGTCATTTGGCTACTAAACGGACATGCATAGGACAACAGAGTGAAACAGAGTGAACAGGACCTAAAACTCCAGGCAGGAAATGCGGCGACCATCATGCCCCTCCCCGCATTGCCCAGCCCTTTGTCTCCATAAAAGACCAGCGTGGCAGTGAGCAACTTGGGAAGTTGTTCAGAGCACATTCCTTGCAGTTTCAGCCTACAGGGTCTTTGGTGCTTTTGTAGTCCTGGAGCTGAGGCACCCAGGTGCCAGGACACACAGAATATCATGGGAAGAAAACTTATTGCCCTAAGAAAGACACTCAAGAAAACACCGATCATCTTCTGAGATGAAAATAATAGAAATGCATGCCTAGGAAGAGATCTATAATGACTAACCTAAGGAGATCAGCAAATTTGCAAATCCTAAACAATGTTTCTTACAGTTTGTTTTCATTTCTCTTCTTCCCTTTTGTTTTTCGAACAAAATATTTTCTATTCCAATATTGAAACGAAACCCATTTTCTGGTCTTCATGTAACCTAACTGAAAAGAGAAAAATATCACATTGCTTAATCATATTCAATATTTTCTTGGTGAATATTTGAAAATGCAATTATTATCATGAGCTAGAAAAATGATATAAATGTGACAGTATTAATAGATAAGTTAGTCTCTTTGAGAATATTAGATGACAAACACAAAATTAATACACTTAAGATGTATAAGAATAAAATTTAGATTTTGTAACTAATTGAGCTAATATTACTTAATATTTTAAAATTTCTTTACCTATGGGAAATACATACGAAGAAAAACTAATCCTTAAATTAATTAGCATGCTGAAGGTAACCAAAATTCTTAGTTTCTCTTTTCAGAGATCCCTGGTTATTATTTGACTATGCTTATTTATGCAGGAAAAAACCCAAACAATACTTTCCGGGGTCTTATAAAAGGGAACATTTGAGATGTCAAAAATTGACAGCTCCCTATGGATTGCGGGCCTGGAAAACACCCTGGGAAGGGATAAAAATCAATTTTAGCTAATTTGCTTAGTGTGGCCTGAGTTGCACATAATATATTTTTCTGTTTTGCATAGGGATCTTGGCAAAATGACCAACAAATTCATGAAGGAAGCTGAAGGCAATTTGAATAATGGTTCTACCGAAATTGAAGAAACATGGATATCTCCAAAGGATAGTAGAGAGCTTGGTTAGTTGTACCCTAAAATTAGGATGTGATTAAGGTATGTCATTTCTTTGGGTTCAATTGAAATGCTTTGTTCTTTCCATGTCAGAGAATTTCTTCCCTTTTTTCCTTAGTCTGTCTCTCCCTCTCTCCTCTCTTCCTTTTCTTCCTCTCATTAGCAGATGTCTTTTATAATTGATGTTGTTCACGTCCTTTCATCAAATGTATGCCACATCACTTAGGCAAACCAGCAGACAGGGCACCTAAACACACATTAGAGGAGAATGGCATCTCGGAGACGCTTCGACTGTCTCATCAGGGCAGTTATAATAAGCATCTTGGTGCCGCTGAATGCAATTCTGTATTCAAATAATAGCTTTCATCTTTGCTCTTTTTAAATATAAAAGTAAACCTTCAAGCCCTTTGAAGGACCTAACCAACAACATACATATGAAAATAGATCAGTAAGGCTTTGAGAAATGTCCTTATGTAAAATCTTCAAGAAAGACCTCCAGGTAAATGATGGCTTTTAATAAGACACATGGCAATCTCAATTATGAGAATCATTATTGTGTACCCTGTGTGCCATTTTATGTTCCCAGCAGGATACCTTTTTTTTTCTCTCATGAAGAATTTCCAGGGCTGTCTACTGTCTACTGTGTAAAGTACATTGAGTGTTTCCCCGAAGCTGCACTATTCAAAGAAAAAAAAAAAAAAGCTAAACACACAGCAACAACAACAAAAACTTTCTCAAGTGGTCAGACAAACTGGAACTATTGGATTATAGGTAAGAGGAATAAAATGAAAGGTTGAAAGCTATAATTTCTGCCTCTGTGGTGGTAACTGAATCAGCTGTCAGGCAATTAAAAATATGGCAAGTTGAGTTCAGAGACTGGAAGAGGACACTTCCCAGCTGCAGCCGGTCAGGCCCTGGCTCGGAAGACATGCAGTTATTACATGTTGGACCCCTCTCTCAGGCGAATTCTTCTCTCCTCCTACCTGTGTCCCTATTTTCCATGAACATTATCACTGGCTTTGACAATTTCTTATTTTACTTTCCTCCTTCTCATTCCCTTATCTTTAAAACAAACAAAACATAGTAGTTGTGTGGCCTCTGGTGATCCATGGTTGGCACCCCTAGAAACAAAGAGGGAGTTTGGGAAGGAGATCCTGCATTTCAGTGTCCCCTTCAATCCACCAGAGGCTAGTTTGCTTTGGAACATGTAGATTTCTGGAAAAAGCCCCTCCTCTAGAGGAACATCTGTACACATATACATATCAGGCAGCCACTTTCGTAAATGTGCTAATTTGAAATGTGGATTTTAAGGATGTTACTATTAAACAAAATGACAAAATGGCTTGCATACTCACTATGAGTTTGGGAGACTCAATTCATAATTGAGCCTTATCCTTTTAATTTAACTGGAATTAACAGAATTTTAGAGGTGATAGAAACTTGGAACTGTCATAGTCACATGAAGATGAAGAAATCTAACAAGCAATTTGTCTTAAAGTCATTTAACTTATGTGTAAGTGCCATTAGGGTAATTATAGTTTTGCATTCATTTAGACAAAGAAAATATTTTCTCAAAAAATATATTTGAGAAATATTTTCTCAGAAACACATCTGGGAAATTTTTAAGGAGAAATCTAAGTTTATCTGTATCTACCATCCAACGTAAGCAATAATATGTATTAAACTGTCTGAGCATATTACTTATAATATAACTTACTTCAATTGTCAATGTATTTTCTGACTTCTATATATATCTGACATACTTCCAAATTGTGTACATAAATTAATATATTTTGTATTTACATATAATTCTCATTTGAGTTTATTTGTATTCTGATTATTTACTACTCTCAGTCCTGAATTTTAACCAGAACAAAGAGATTTTCTCCAAGGAAAAGAAGGTAAGTTATTTCATAAGTTCTACCAGAGATTCAAAAGTTCTTTTCCTATTATTAATATTTTAAAAATTTAAAAATTAATATTTAAAAAAGAGAATAAATCTTATTTTCTGATTTCTGAGTAGTCCCAAAAAAAAATGGCAGAATTCCAAAAAGAATTGGTTGGAGTATGCAGATATTTATTGCATGTCATCAGCCATATCCTTTCATTTAAAGTAATTGGCATACCCTATAGAAAATAGTTTGTTCTTGAAGAAATGATAGACCTCAAGTATTTTTAAGACCAAGATATTAAAAATAGCAATAAATATTTTCATCAATCAAATTTTTCAAAAGTTTAAATATACTCCTTAAGCATCTTTCTAGGAAAATCAAACCATTTTTAAAAAGAAATACTCAGATGAACATTTTAAGCACACAAAAAGGTATGTGGTGATGTTACTGGAAATGAAATTTTTTGTAAATTAGAAAAGTAGGATGTCTTTCCTCCAAAACCTTGCTACATTGTTTTATAGTTAGCAATGTGTGTCGTAAGATGTATTTTAAAAATCAAAACTTTTTAGTTATAAGTATGTTTTCACTTAAGTATTTAAAAGATGATCTTCTCTTTATTAGAGATGAAATTTTGATGAGATACTAATACTTACATAGTTCTCAGTTTTCTCAATCAAATACTCCTTGCTACTTATTCAGAGCATATGTCTCAAAACATTGAGGTCACAAACAAATAAAATAAAAGTATTATAACTTTAAAAAAATAAAATGATAATTTTGTGCCAGTTTATAGATTTTTATTTGCATTTTAGGGGTTCCAATTTAACTAAATACATCAAGACATACCTTGTCTCCATGACTATCTTAATTTAAATAATATAAAAATCTTAAGTACTATAGTACTATGTGAATTCAGATTCCCTTAGTCAATTGAGTAAAGGGAAATCAACACAAATGAAGGGAAACTTGGTATCCCCCACTCCCTTGGTTATTCTGTAGACTAATTTGTCACAGTTGGGTTTGATATTTTTCTCAATGTTACATGAAGAGATCCATGATTTATACTGAAGTTTAGAGCTATATGGTGGTATCTGTAAGCTTAGTAAAAATATACATGATCAAATGTTGCAGAAATAATTATGTTACATACCAAACTCCTACTCCTAGAAGTTTCAAGGACAGGAGTGTAGCTGTGTACCACTTACCTAAGTATAATCTACAAGTAACACTAATGAAACTCCATGAAAATTCAAATATTATTGTACAAAAACCATTATTTTCAATCTATTTTTTAAATTGCAAACTATAAATACCAAGAAACATTATCGTTAACTTTATGTTGAAAAATTATACTAAATTTTCAATGACATCTTTAGCTAGGGAAACTTAAAACCTATTTTTTAGTTCGTAAAAAAAATTATATCATATACATAAGAAACTATTTCCAGAACTAGTATAGGAGTTTTAAAAGTCATATTGAATGGTATATATTGTTCAAAATAAATTTTGTTTGGAAATTGGGCCGCACTTTGGTATCTTATCAACTAATTTTCAGTCATTAAAAAATTTAGAAAGAGATGAACTCATAAGTTTTATTAGAAGGAGCAGTTATGTAGAATGAAGTGACTACTTTTTATAAGATGCAGTGTAATTCCAAGAAACAACACGTAATGACTTGTCTTAGGAGAAAGAAGTTGATTAACAAAGCTGAACATTCACACAAGGCAATGTGACACATAACTCAAAATGCCGTTGCAAAAACGGTAGTTTATAAATGGAGATCTGATGCTGCTCTACCATAATTAGTGCTGCTTTCACGACTGAGAAGAAAGACTTTCCAGGCTTGACAACAGCAGTCGAAGTAGAGAAAAAGGCTACGCAGCTATGACTGAGGGCTTAATTTTCCCAGGTGGGTAACACAGAAATTGTAGTGACTATGGCCAGTTTTTAGTGACTAAACAACGCTTTACTTTCCTCTAGCCAGCTTTGCTCAACAGTGGCGTTCTTGTTAACTTTGACCAGGTGATTCCTTGTCATGCAGATTCCCTATGTGTCGAAGGATTTCTATCACCATCCTTGACTCTCCGAAGCAGGTGGCATTAGCTCCTAACCCTACCATGTTGATACCCAGACATTGCCTATGCCCTTGAGAGAACAAAACTGCCCGTTTGAAAACCAGCTGTCCAGATGTTTTTGGTTTCTTCTTTAGAAACAAAAATTTATGTACTAACTGGAAAATATAAATGTTCTAAAATATAAATAATATAAATGTTTCTATAATATAAATGTTTCTTCAGGATATAAAAACAATTTTATAGGATATATAAAACTATCATTTCTTTTTTTTTTTTTTTTTTTTTTGCTATCAGGGATCGAACTTGGGTCCTTGCGCTTGCACAGCAGGCGGCGAAACCGCTGAGCTAAATCCCCGGCCCTAAAACTATCATTTCAGTGGTATATTTATCACTCGTGTTATTTATTGGATAACACAAGCATTCTAAGAGATGTGCAATGTGTACCTTTATTTGAAAATTTGGAATGCTAGCCAAGTATATCAAATAAATCATTTGCTTTTGATTGGACATGAAAAATTTTCCTGTGTATTATAGCTAAATATAGTAATATTTTTCCAGAGGAATCATTTTTCTGTAGAAAAGAAAATAAGATCCTATTCAAATAATTGCATATAGAACTGATTTTAGCTGAAGAGTGAGTCTCATTTGGCTTTGTCCATGTGTTAAATCACAACTTTCCTGGCTGCACGTGAAATATTGAGAGTAAAAGAAAAATCTTGAAAAGAACCTGGAGATTATCATTAATCATTAAAATGGTCTGATATTTGTGGACTATCAACTTTTGAAAATTAACAACAAGATGGTAGGGAAGGTATTGACTTCATACTCCTCTGCGTGTGTGTGTGTGTATGTGTGTGTGTGTGTGTCTATTGGTGGAAATATATTGATATGAAAGAACAATACACTAAAATTAAACATCCTGTATTTCATTTTATTGTGTTTTTAAAATATAAAGTCTTAATAAGTTCTCTGGATCTATGAATAGCGAGATAACAGGTTTGTCTTTCAGAGACCCTAAAGATAGTTACAGGTTCAATTCCTTTCATGTATTAATTGTAGTGTCACTGAACATATTGCCATGAATCTGTAGTGTCAAGATTTAAGGGGGCCTGGGATTTAGCTCAGTGGTTCTGGCGCCTGCCTTGCAAGCTGAGGACCTGAGTTCGATCCCCAGTACCAAAAAAAAAAAAAAAAGATTTAAACATAAAACTCAGGAAACTTTAAACTTTATAGCTCAAACTTGTAGTAAATATATCCTAAAATGGCATTATTCTTATAGGTTTTCATGAAAAAAATAGGGTAATGATGTTTTATTTCTATATGTCACATTTTTAATTACAGAGAAGGATTTGCCTGGTAATAACTAGTATGACACACAATAAAAGGGAAGTGTTGATATAAGAATTTATCATTGCTAAGGCACTTGAAATGTGATAAACCACTTTTTATCCTGAATCTATACCCACTGTGAAGAAATAACAATTTCATTTAATGATGTACTGTGAAGCTATTTCTTGATACTTAGTTACTGAAACCAGCATTTCCAACTATCATAGATTTTCTAGGTCAATGTTTCCCAAACTGTAGCTGCATCAGAAATACTTGCAGGGTTGTTAAAACACAGATTGCTGGGCTTCATGCCCAGAGCTTCTGATTCAGAAGACAAGAACTGAGACCCCACATTTCTAACTAGTTCTAAGGTGATCCAAAACCAAAGAAGGCTTCTTAGTTTGATTTGATAACATTATTTTTGGTGATACTGGGGATTGAACCTTCACATTGAGCTACATGGCCTTGATAAGTCACTAAATTGCTCAGGCTGGATTCAAACTTGAGATCCTCCTGTCTCAGCCTTTCTGTTTATTAAAAATGGCCAAAGTGTGTAGAAATAAATAAGTAAACAAATTATATGAATTTTGATTTGCTCATTTGCCATAATGACTTATGAGAGAGATTGCTTTTAGTGAAAGATTTCTTATATGTATTGAAATACAGGAAACTTTAAAAGAAAAAACATAAACCTCTCCTAAACAGAGATTTGAATTAGCTTTAAATTTTTCATCTGTATTACAAAGCAATATTTCCTAGACTAACAAAACTTTATTAATTACTACTTTGTTCTTACTTTAATTATCCATATTCCACTTGCTCCAAAGAATTAATCACTGTTCCCTCTCAGTGCTCAGCCCTGCCCAGAGTAGCCTTTAGCTGGTTTTCTTAAGTATCTTTTAAATTAAATGCACTACAAGGCCTTTCTAATTCAATACCTCCATTTGCAATTTTGTCCAGATTCTATCAAATGTAAGATGTCACTAAGCTATAGGACCTCTAATATATTAAACAAATCAACTAGGACTCAAAAGAAGAACAGTTACCCTAGAAGCTTTGCAAATGAATGATGCGGCTTTGATATGGATGACAATCTGAGTGGCACTGTCCAGAACCCGCTGTCCCTTGGTCAGATGTCATGTGCCAGGTATAGCAAGACAGGTGTATAGTTCCAGTCCTAACTCCCAAATTCTGCAGAATGTGGGGGGGGGGGGCTGGCACAAGAATTACACAAGTGATTTGTGGCTAGGTAGGTAACTGTTACACAGTGTGAGTCAATAATTTTAAGTGACTACCCATAAACACTTTGCAGAGGTTGTTTTTTTAGTACAAGTATAGGGTAGGTGATATGAAGATGAGAAGTCCTACTTGCATGGCTGGTATAATGAATTCAGAATTGAATCACAACTCACAGCCTTTTCAAACCTGGTCAAGGTACCAACTATTCTACTAATTCACCAAAAAAGAAAAAACCTTAAACTAATATTTATGTACTTAGTAAAACAAATCATACCTATCCTTAGAAAGAACAAGAAATTGTCAAGTTGAATTGATATCAAAATAATTTGTGAGCAAATGTACATTGATTTGGACAGAGAAATATGGATTCTTCATAATTCTGATCTAGAATTATGTCCCTTTGACCTTAGCTTCTAAATGAAAGCTTACGGAGTTTTTAATAACTTGTATTTTCAATATTATCACAAGGGAGGTTGAGAGAGAAATTATTCTTTATTGAATAATGGAAATCATCCTATCTTATCTATTCCGTCACTAGTATCAAATAACAGCCTTAAATAGAGGTGCCGCTTAATTTTTCTGTATCCAAAGATTTCATATTCTCTCAATGCAATGGATAAGCTATGTTATTAGCACACTTAAATTAAAACTGATTCTTGGAATTTTTTATCTTATAAAGCAAACTTATGGTAACACCAATTTAAATCTTGGAGATGCTTTATAAACTCAACGATGTTGCTTTGAAAGCACTAGCTCTCTTTTTCACCTGCATTTGAATAATTCTGGCCTTTCCCTTTCTGCAGATGCAAATGCAGAAACCTCCACACTTTAGCATGAACACTTCCAGTTCCTAATGTGCATATCCAAGCACCGACATTAATGCCATATCAAGGGTTTTCAATGGGCAGGGTAATCTGTGATAGCAAAATTGTATCCCTTCCTTCCTGCAATTACCTCAATATCCTTACAGCCCTGACATCTGGAGACCCACTGCTACTGTAGCAGCTGGGATTCCTGTCCCATGGCAGGAAGTTAAGTACAGGTTCCAAAGAGCCCTAATTGTTTTGATGTTTTGCGGCAGCTCCGGAAGCTTGGCTATTGGTGAGCACTGTCTTTGATTACTAATCCCCTTTTTGGAACCGTACACAAATTTACAATGTGTCACTAACTGAACCATTTAGAGCAGTTGGACACTGTCTTCTCTTAATAATCTACAACTTTACATTGTGGTCATATTCCACATGTGACCATTTTAAACGTAATGTATGTTAGGGAATTAAACCTCTCTTTACTCATGTTCACAGTACTCTTCATGTTTTCTTTGGTGACTCCATTTTCACCTCGTTGCCTCAAATGATCGAGAGAGAGGGTAGCTTCCCCAAATATATACTCCTATTTGTATTGCTGAAAGAGAATCAATTGCTTCAAGTTAGACAGCATTGGAAGAATCATTATGCTTTGTAGTTGCTCATGTAGCACATCAGCGCGATTTTCAGACACCTGTCAATTTTGTAGAAATCAAGAGACTTCTGATAGAAGTACAGAATTAAATTCTGGGCAACCACAACTGTATTTCTGCTTCACTAAATATCGAAGGCTATTTTGTGACTTTGAACTGATAAAATGTATAAACTGTTTGTGTAGATTGCTTCTTTCTTTAAAAGTAACCAGAAAAGAATACTGATGAATAGACTGTTAAATTTATATTTGAAATGGTTATAAATAATTATTTCCCTCATTTTAAGAGCATTAGTGTTTTCTGTTCATCAAATTAAGAATAAAATGGATTTTACTAATGCCCTATAATTACTTTGTTAGTCAAAATTATAACAAATGATCTCCTAGAATCTAAACTATTTTGCTTCAGAAAAGATTGGGATTTGCTGTATCATACCATCACTCTGCAAAAATACAATTGCATACAATTTTTATTTAGTTACAAATTTTATTTTTATTTCTATTTTTATTCTTACCTACATTTCCTCTATAATATGGTAATAGTCTCCCTTGTATAATATTTGCCTTAATTTGCTATGTAAGTTACTATTTCTCTTCACTCAGTTATTTCTTTTAAATTTTACATTCATAATGATTTAACCCCAATATTCTCATTTACTCTCTCTCTCTCAACATATCAGTCAATTTCAAATGATTTTAAAAGCTTATGCCTTTTATTCAGTTTCTAATATCTAAAATCTTCTAGTTAGAGAATATTTTGTACTATATTTGTAACATTTTTAGGAAATTGATTTTATGTATGCTTAAGCATTTTGTCAGTTTTAGCTAACTGTTCCTATGACAGCCAAAAGATACTATGAATTCTCCTAATGTCTTACTGCCCCATTATATGCTGAGGGTTTAAATCACCATAAAAGAAATATTTGTTTAGATAGAGACTGGTTTGTTTATCTTTACTGCCTCAGAAAAACTCACTAGGCAGTCTTCCTGGAGCTGATACTTGTAATCATTAGCAATTATGGATTCTAGAAGGATGCAGATATGAAGTTTTAAAAAGCCATTTCTAAATCAGATACAAAATATATAAAACATTCTCCAGAATTGTTTTTGTTGCCCTTCACACTGTCACCTTCTTATCTTAACTATAATGTACTTTTCATCAGCTTATTCTTCATCAATCTTGGGTGGTTCCTGGACATTCATAGACAGATGAATTATTTTCAGAATCGATAAAGCAGAATTGTTTTTATATGATGGTCTTTTTCATGTCATTGATGTGTTGAGGGCTTCTATTAAAATGTCAGGAATATGCTTTGTATTGCCAAGTGATTCACTTACACAAAACACCATGGGCACATCAGTCTGCAATTAGGATTTTCATCTTTCAGCATATGCTTTGAGCTCAGAACATGCTGAGACTGTTCTCTCAGGGTGGCTCCATTCGAGGGCTTCTTCTTATAACAGGCGAGAGCTGGGTAACAATAAACACCAGGCAAAGGCTTCTCAACAGCCCCAACTCTGGAACAGAAAGCAGAAGAAGCCTCTGTTTCAACTGAACACAAAGCACTCTTAAGTATGGAGATAACCAGATTGGTGAAGAATTCAACCACAGGCTCTGCATTTCAATGTTTGCTTGCCTGTTGATGAATATTTTGCACAAACACCTAATGAATTTGAATTGTTATTCTTTGCACATGATTTGTATCAGAAATAGTATTTATTAAGTTTTTTTCTCTGTCTTTTCACACTTTAGATCACCCTTAACTTCTCAAAGACCTCTAAGTCAAAAAGTTAACTTTTAGAATTTTGCTATGCCAATATATAGTAAAATGTAAAAAGGCCAAAAAAAAAAAAAAAACGGGAAAAGGAACAGATGATTTATGCATTAGATACTGTGCCTTTCAACTATCCAAACCTAACTTAGTAAAGTTTACTATCAAGATTTTTCCCACTTGATAACATAAATTTCGTTATTATTGACCACTAAACATACTGCTTTCAATTATCGCCAAATTAGAAAAGAAACTAAAAGTATTTTTTACATTTAATGAGAATAAATAAGTATAACAAATGATATTTTTAATATTAAGTTAAATCTTGGCAAAATAATCCTAACTCAGTATTTATATTTAAAAAGACTATTGCTCATTAATTTTTAATATAAAAGATAACCACTATGTAAATGTCTAAAATATACTATATTCTGGATTCATAAATATGCTGTCATCCAAAACTAATATTTTTTTACATAAAATTAATGGAATCATATATGATGAGCCATTAAGACTGTGCAAATTACAATACCTGGTTCCTTTTGTCTGGTTTGCCAAAGAATAAAGACATAATGGACCTACTATGAAAATCTCCTATATCAGTCTTTCCACTTAAAAATGTAGTATGCCTTTAAATTAAAAGTTAAAACTAAAAAAGGTTAACATTTCACAAATTTTTCAGCAAATTAGAAACTTGACCTGTATTTAGTATGATTTCCAAATAGTATAGCATATATTTCATTACAAATAATTAGCTACGGCATTTCCTTACACGTCAAACATGTGTTTATGTTCTGTTTATTCTTACAAGCAAAATATCTCCCTATTGTTTCAAAAGACAAATGTATAAAGCTGAAAAGAGAACTACAATCCTTTTAATTCCCAATGTACAAATGCCACTAAGTGATTTATATCAAGACATTTTTGAATCGACTCACTGTCAACCCAGATGGGCATATTTTGGGCATATTGTTTTCTGCACTATGCAATGTAACCAAAAATAACAATGGAAGAAAATTAAGCTCTGCTTGATAAAATGTGCTTTACTTTTTATGTGGTGTTAACAAAATGCCTTAGATGGAAAATGAAATCTGTCTTAGTTTAAGAGAGAAACACAAAGACATTTCCCTTCTGGACAGCAGACTTTGGCATTGCAAGATCAAAGGAACAGTTTTATCTGCATTGTGACTACAGACCAAAAGATTTCAATGTCCTTGTCTCCGTGCAAGATCTTATGTGTCTTTAATAGCATTTAAATTATAGCCCTCTGTAGCCAATGCAGTCAAAACACCACGTCCTCTAATGGGACACCATGTTATAATCTGTCAGTGTGTCTCACATACAAATTCTCCTATACTGTACTTGCCCTCATTTTTCTTTTTTGCTAGAAGACTTGAGCAAAGTATCTTTTAAATGAGATGTATAAGTTGACTCAGTTAAGATGGACAAAATGCATACTTTGTTTTCTATTATTTTAAATTAACCCATTTATAGAGGGTTTTTCCCCCCTTGCAATACACTCCCTCCACATTTTTGTTTGTTTTTAGGGAGTTCATCTATCTAATGCACCACGTGGTACATGACATACTACAGACACATATTACAAGAAATTAAGAATGTGTGTCTATCATAGAACTATGGGTTATTCTTTGTTTCTCAGAAGAAAAGGTATTCTCCAATAAATTCATTTGTAGTAGAATGACTATTACACCTAAAGTAAAGACACTGGTTTCTGCATTCTAGTATAGCACACGATACAGATGGCATGTTTCAAATGTCACCAGAGAAACAAGATTTAGTTTGAATATCTACTTTTAACATAGTGTTTATTATACTGACTTAATTTTCTGAAAATTAGCATTACTCTGAATATTCCTGCCTGCAAATATAAAAATCAGATGTTACATTTTCTATAAAAGCATTGAGTTTTTATCAAAGAAAAATATAAGCAAGAATATATAATCATTTATACTTTCATGTTATTCAGTGTTACATACTTACGTGTATATAGAGAGAGAAAGAGACAGAGAGAAGTAGTTACAGATATTTACAGTTACAAACACATTTTTTTCTAGGAGCATATGTTACATTAGTAACTGGTAGTTAAGTTTGCCTTCAAGCTTCAAAATATAACATGGAATTAATGATTTCCCAGGGGTAGATTTAGATATTTTTAAAAAGATAACGAATTTCTATATCACATGCATACTAAGATTGAGCTACCATATGCTTTTTGAAGATATGTGATGGTAACATACCCATAGGAGATTCTGTATAAATTAATATAACACCATCTCAGATCAGCCTCACCTGAGAATGTTTATACCCAAATACAATTTTTGTGTTGGAAGAAGCCAATGATTACAAATAAATTGATTCTTAAATTTCTAAATTCATTGATTAACTTTTAGTCCAGTATTCCTACTACTGTTCTGTGGAAAAATCACATCTTCTGTGTGTTTCATGTAGAATAGAAATAAAGGGGAATGCTGGGCACATAATAGTTTAGAGGAATAAGGGCTTTTTCTCAACCTGGAAATGTCAAAGATCTTTCAACACATTTCACTTACCTGAGGAACCAGGTAAGCAACATGAAAGATATTTATTGAGAACAAGGACTATGTAAAGTATCACTTTCTCATTGAATTAAGATTTGTATGACTACATTTAGCTGGCATTTGACAAGAAATCATGACAAGTTTTCTAATGGAAGAATTTGAAATTGCTAGATAGAATCATGTAATGCAATGTTTTAATTAAAGATATACCTTTTCTTTTTATTCAAACAAAGGAAAAAAGAACAGTAATTTTCAGGGGCAAAAGAATAGAAGAATAAGTTCTCTATCTCGGGAGAAGAGTTGATTTTTAATCTTTATTCTCTTCTACCCCACCACCCTAGGATATATCCTAGAATTATTTCTTGGAGTCTATTATTTGATAAATACTACCTAACATATAAAATGTAATGAACCCTTATAAATCTACTACCCAATTTAAGGAATTCAGCAGCACCAATTTCTTAATGTAGCACTGAAGATTGAAGCCAGGCCCTTCACTCTAAGCTAATCATTATCTCTTCTAATTATTTTTAATATGTTGAATATTTCAAACGTGGAAGTCACTAAATTCCCAGGTCTGAGAGTAAATTTATGATACTTCTCGATCAGCCTACCATAGCTCTGTGATTACAGGTGTGTACCACTATGCCCAGTAGCAAATGTGAGGAAGCGGCTGTACTTTTCCTCCAGCTGCCTCTCTCCCTCAGCAGTTACTATTATAGAGGTCAGAAAGCACCTATGGAATGTGACCTTTACAAATTTAACCTCTACCCTGACTTCCAGACCTGATAGAAATGATGCCTCTTGAAGGATGCAGCATGCCACTTACATATGGATTTTCACCTACCTCTGCCATTGTCCTGAGCTTTGAGTTTACCTTTTCAAGATAGTCTTGCTTGTTTTGTGCTTTACAAAAATATGATTTCATATGTAGTCTAATATAAGTTTGTATTACATAGCTCAGAGAAATCTACATTATTGCATATGGTTGCATTTTATTTACTTCATGCTGAATCATATTCTATTATGTAAATATCCTCAATTTATTTATTCATTCTCCTTGACATTTGAGTTGTGAAGCTCTTTGCGCATACATGTAACTATTCTTGTATATGTCTCACTGCATATAAATAATAAATACTACAAGGTGTATACCAGGAATTCCAAAATCTTAAGGTTTGTGGATGAGCTGAGGCACACATGTGAAAACCCAAACTTTAAAACTCTAGTAAGTGCATAAATAAAATACTAAGTTACGAAAAAAGACAAAGCTTTCCTCAAAACATCTAAAAATGTTTGTAATATATTTAGTATTTAAACAAGTCTTTTTTGTGAATAAGTATCAATTCTACTTATGGGTATCTACTTTAGTCATTTTATAAAATATCTGGCTTGCTAAATCAGTCAGTCATTTTATCCAAATCCATTATCTAGAAGAGGAACCAAAGCCAGAAACCATTTTGTTTGTCTTAATATTGATTACAGATATTTATATTAGCTTAAGAAATGAGAATTAAAATTAAAAGATATAGCACAAGTTACCAAGTTTACTCCCCTTTCCATACACCTTTCACATTATTTTTGGAAATACCAAATCTCAATATCCAAGCTAGAGATTATGATTACAAATCAAAGTAGAGGAAGAGAAAGGCATAGAAAATTACTAGATAGAAAGACTTTTATTATGTCAAAATATATATAGCTTAAAATTTAGCCTTTTAAATGCACACCTCGGGAGCATTAAGCATCACTGTGGAGCCATCATTAGGTAATCCTGGCCATCATCCATCTCTAGAACATCGTCATCTTATCAAGCTGAAATTCCATACCCATTGTACCCTAACTTCCCTTTCCTCTCTTTCTGTCCTGTGGTAATCACCATTCTGCTATCTGTGTCTATGAATCTGACTACTCTAGTTACCTCATGTCAGAGGAATTATACAGTGTGTGTCCTTTGAACGGCTTATTTCAATTAGCATGATATCTTTGAATTCATCCACAATGTAGCAAAATATCATCCATTGTTAAGGCTGAATAGTAATTCATTGGATGTGTATACCATATTTTATTTATCTATGGACACAGGGCAGTAGATCCTTCTAGTCATAAACTACTGTGAATACTACCACTGTGAATGCAAGTGTAAAATCAATTTCCAAATCCCACCTTCAATTATTTTTAGGTATGA